CTCTGATACCATGTTGAATTTTGAATGTCTATATTTTGTATATGTGAAAACAAAGTACAAGGAGCTCATATAAATGAGCGGAAGAAAAAGCAACAGAAAGGAAAAGAAAGGAAAAGAAACAGAAACCGAAAAACAAGGGAAAAGGAAATCAGCAAAACAAGGAAAAGCAAAAAGCAACAAAACAAGAAAAAGAAAGCAGCAACAAACATGGAATCAGAAAACATGGAAAAGCAAATCCTTGATTTATGGCACTTCTTCCAATATCCCCGGCTTGGAAAAATAATAACCTTTGGCGAAAAAGATGAGAGTTGGATTGTCACATGGAGGGTGCATATGCAGTCAATAAGGTATGAGAGCATCTTAGGGATAATGCCACAATCGTGTGTAGGATGGATACTCATGGTACCCCGCTGTTTGCTGGCTATGGTACTGTAGCGACAAACTCTGCAGAAGAGACATCACATAGTAATACTGATGTAGCTGACATGGCAGGACGTTATCCGAGGAAGGCGTCACTGCTCGATTAGGGAAACATGGACCACCTAGATAACCTTGGGACCCACCACCACAATAGGACCTTTACCCTTACGGTTAATAGATTTTCCTTGGATAAAAGTTGGTTTGGTCCTCGTAAGATCCCCCCATTGGGCCTTTACCAACTCAAATAGTTTACTGGTAAGCTCATTTGAAAAGAATTTGGAGACTACTGAAATGACTGGGTCAGTGGGCTTATTGAAAATAATTGAACAGGAAAGGAATGAAGCCCTACTTGGTCTACTGACTCGGTGATCAATCCTTTTATGCATGGTGAAACTGCATCCTTCTAGATTTCTCCGAAACATGGCGTGACATTGCTTCAAAATTGGAAAACGCGTGAGGTAACCCACCCCTTCCTTTGAGAAATGCCGCAAAACTCTGTTGGGTGGAAAACTTTCCTGCTCATCTATTCTATGCCATAGGGGATCTAAGAAACATGGAGGCCATGGTAGGCACGATGGAAGGGGCAATAAGAAACTTTTGGTGGAGGTTGTTGATGAGGATATCAGGGAGGTGCCCATTAGCTCCTATAAGGAATTCAAAGATGTTGAACTTTAAGGTTGGCTTGGAAGGAAGAAGAGTGGAGACAATTCTAATGTTTTATCAGTTAAGGTTGGCCTTGTCAGCCTTGCCGAGTCCAATGAAAATCATAGTTTGGAACTGCCGAGGGCTAAGGAACCCTTGGAAAGTTTAAGATCTTCTGAGTTTCATTAAGTAGCAAGTTCTTATTATGGTTTTCCTATGGGAAACCAAATGTAACGTTAGTTCTCTGAAGAAAGTGCAATTGAGTTGGGGTTTTTCTAGTTTATGGGGTATAGATTCTATGGGCAAATCTGGGGGTTTAGGTCTTCTGTAGAAGGAGGATATTGACCTGCGAGTCTTGTCCGTATCTTTTCACCATATTGATGCGGAAATTGGGGGCAACGGTGACTTAAACCACTGGCGTTTCATGGGCTTCTATAGCGCCCCAAACACTTCTGAAAGCCACTAGTCTTGGTCATTACTCCATCGACTTGTGTCCACTAGCTCTCTTTCTTGGGTTTGTGCAGGGATTTTAATGAAATTCTCCACTATTCGAAAAAGGAGGGTAGGCCTCCTTGCCCTTTGAGACATGTTCGCCTTCAGAGGAGTAATCGCGGATTGCCAACTTATGGATTTGGAATTGTTGGGGAACCCCTTCACGTGGAAGACAACTCGTGGGGGAGGCATCAAAGAGCATCTTGATCAATATTGTGCTTCGGCTTCTTAGAAAGGTATGTTCCATATTTTGAAGGTGAGCCAACTTAAATTTGGCAAACCAGATCATATACCGATCATGTTAGAGCTTGTTTAGTCCTATGTCAGACGAAATCATCATGTATTCAGATTCGAAGAGGTTTGGACTCATCATGAAGATTGTATAAAGATTGTGATGGGGTTATTAGAAAGGCTTTAAGCCTAAATATGGTTGGCTATCCCATGTTTCAAGTTTGTGAAAAGATTAAGACGACTAGGGTGGCCCTTCTTGAGTGGCAATAGGTGAAATTTAGGGCTTGTGAAAATGAGATTGAGCAAGTGTGGGATCAGCTTTCCTCGATTGATGCCTAACCTTACTCGGCTTCGTCGATGTTGGAGCATTTTGGTCTTATGCAGCGACTTGATTCTTTTCACCTTGTTGAAGAGAGTCATTGGAAACAGTGGTCAAATGTGATGTGGATGAAAGTGGGTGATAGGAACACCTATTTTTTTTTTTTTTCACCAATGAGTGAATATTAGGTAACGGAAAAACAGAATTGTGGCCTTGATGGATAAGAATGAGGATTGGTAGAACAATGATTATGGGATTGATAGGGTTGCAATTAATTACTTTGAGTCATTTTTTCGCTCTCAATCATATCTTTCCTCAATTGATGAGGCGATTGAGGCCTTGGAGACTCAAGTTACAGAGGATATGATCTATAATGTCAATTTGCCATTCACAGCAGAAGAGGTGAAGGTTGCTCTGTTCCAGATGCACCCTAGCAAATCACTGGTTTGGACGGAATGTCTTCGTTTTTCTTTTAGCAGTATTGGCCTATTACTGGTGTGGATGTGAATGAGGCAGTGTTTTTTATTATGTTGTCCGGCCAAATGTTGAGGAACAACTAATTTCACGCACGTGTGACACACATCGACCCAAAAGGTCTACCTGGATTCCTAATCGAGCTGTGTTGGTTGACACTGCAAAGGTGATGAAGACATAAAGTGTAGTGATGTGGAAAATGTGAATAAATTTAAACCTAAAATGTCTAAATGCAAGAGTGCGCATGTGAGCGGAATTGAACCCAATTCACACGTGATGTCAGAGTATAAGTAAAGTACAATAAAGGTAGGATAAGAATTATACCATCAAAGGTAATCACATATACCAAGATTTGCCAAGAATCCTTGTCGACATGAAAGCTCTGCTTCTAAAACCTGGAGGGGCGAAAAACAAGGGTGAGTGGGCCAAAAATAAAGCATCGTAAAAACCTTTTCGAAAACATATTAACCCCTTGCCGTAAAACAAGTATAGTTTCCACATATAACATACTACATATAGTATGAAAATACTTACCGTAGCCAGCAATATCCCAACAACGTAATAGTTCATAATAATTTGTAAATAAACACATAATGCTCGATAGTCACAATATATATAAACAAACATATCATATCGAATACTCATCGACAGATGCTGACACATGAGTTCATGCAGATGTATTCTGACATGAACATGACTGGGTGTAAAGAAATGATTTATGCTCTAGTACTACAATCACTTGAAAATTGGTGCTATGGGCATTACATATGAGTTCTAATTGCCTATAACAATATAGAATATGACTGGCACCTACAATGAATCACAAGTGAGTGCACGATGTGATGTAAACATACACGTGAAGACTGGCCCTGGCTCAGGCGAATACTAACACCAGTGTAGTACAAGATGAGCATATAAAGTATATATGATTAAGGCATCCCATAATAATATGCATACCTGTGCATCCTGCAGGATGTAATTTCATAAATTCTGTTAATACGCTAATTCTTAAAACGTTGGTCTAATCAAGGTATAACGTAGAAAATTATTTATTAAGCATATATGGAAACTAAATAAATATTTAATATTTAAAAGCAAAGACCTACTCACAAATCATGTCGTCGAGTCGAACTCGCCTTGCGGTCACCGAAAATCCTTGATATGCATTTCACCTAGAAATGAAACCATTTACATAAATATATAACGTACTAATGTAAATATGTGTTTTTGTACAAAGTTTGGCTAATAAAAGAACTATTTTAAAACGATCAAATTTAAAAAAACAGAGGGCGGCTTCGGGTTTGGCACGTTGAGAAACCTAAGGAGAGACCTCAGGTTCCTTCACGGGCTGCCGCACGCGCCACGACAAGGTGGTAGCACAGGCAGCCACACGCTGAGGACATGGGAGCCTACACACGCGAGTACCAGCATACTTGTCTTCCTTTCGAAGGCCCTAGTTTTGCAAGTTTTTGGTCCGACTTCCAAAGCCCTTTCGAGCTTGATACTCAACAAAAATCAATGATTCAAAGACCTAAATGAACTAGGAAATGTAAGGAACAGATCTATACCAAAGTCTTGCTGAGTTCTAGTTGGACTTGGCCCGAAAAAATGGCCTAAAGATGGCTTGACGACCATGGTTCATTTTCCAGAAATCTGGGGAAATCCTTCCCCTAGATGCTTTATGCATTAGATCACCTCTAAATCTCATATTTAAGGTTAAAAACATCAACGGGAGTTCAAAATAAGAAGGATTTGACGTTTGGAGTCCCGATGATTACCTTGATTGTGCATTGTGGAATGTTGCCGTTAAAAGGGTGACGGTGTCACTCTACTTGTGTCTGTGCAGTGAAGGAGATAAGGAGCTGAAATAGAGGGTCCAAGATATGGCCTTGGATTCCTTTGTGTTTTCATAGAAAAGAAGTGAAGATGGTGACTTGTTATGGGTGGCCAGAGAATATGGTGAGGGTTGGGCCCCACTTGGCAAACAACACAAAGTCACAAAAGGCAATACAGAAAAATATCTCCTGTAAACTTGAATTTACCAAAACGCCCATCACGCTCCGTAATTCATAAAATCTTCGTCGTAACTCCGAATTAAATTTTGCTTGTGCCCATGCATTTGTACCGTCGAGTACTTCAAGAATATGATAAAATCAAGCTCATATGCGTCATGACATGATGGTCAATAATGAAAGTCAATATCTCGCTTTTAGGTGTATTTTCGTCAATTCACTTTTTAAAATTTAATAAAATTATAAAATTAAGGACAAGTTATTACACATGGCACTAATTTCTAAACAGCAGGACCTTCACGATATGTCTCAGCTACGCCCCATTAGTCTTTGCAATGTGGTGTACAAAGTTATCTCCAAAGTTCTGGCCAACAAAATTAAGATATTGTTACCCCATATTATCTCGCAAGACCAAAATGCGTTCGTGCCGAGAAGGGCCATTTCGAACAACACTATCTTAGCCTCTGAGATAGTCAACTTCTTGTACAAACAAAAGAAACGGAAAAAAAAAAAAGAAGCTTTTTTGCACTTAAGCTTGACATGTGTAAAGCCTGTGATAAAATTGAGTGGCATTATTTGGAGAGTGTTTTGCTGAAGATTGGTTACAACACCAGGTAGGTGAATTTTTTGATGATATGTGTGTCCTCTGTGTCATACTCTTTCATGATCAATGATTTGCCTAAAGGCTATGTACTCCTATCCAATGGGCTACGGCAGGGAGACCCTATTTTACTATATCTGTTTTTGTTGTGTGCAGAAAACCTCTCTGCCTTAATTGAAAAAAAAAAAAAAAAAAAAGGAATAGTGTGGTGCCATTCAAGGATCTCTGTTTGTTCAGCGACTCCTCTCATCCACCATCTTTTATTTGCCGATAACTTCTTTGTCTTTGCTAAGGCCCATAAGGCTGATTTTTCAGCAGTCAACTCCCTTCTCCATAGTTACCAATTGGCATCGGAGCAACAAGTAAATCTACAAAAAAAAAAAAAAGGCAATTTGATTCAGCCGAAATGTAAAGCGCCGTAACCAAAATGCCTTGGTTGATCTCTTCGATGTCAATATGGTTGACCGGCATGAGAAGTACCTGGGACTCTCAACCTTCGTGGGGTGTAACCGTGGAGTCTGCTTTAGCTACATTAAAGAAAGGCTTTGGAAAAAATTACAAGGGTGGAAAGGAAAATATCTCAGTGCCGCCGGTAAGGAACTATTGGTGAAAGTGGTTGCCCAAGCTATTCTGTTGTACTCGGTGTACTGTTACTTGCTGCCTAAGTATTTCTACGATGAGCTACACCAAATCATGGCTTCATTTTGGTGGAATGAAATGGGAATGAAAAGCGAATACATTATATGTCTTGGGATAAACTGTGCGGGCCAAAACCGGATGGTGGTCTTGGGTTCCGAAATCTCTATACCTTTAACTTTGGTCTCCTTGCCAAGCAAGGTTGGAGAATTATCTCGAACCCCACTTCTCTTGTTGCAAGGCTCCATAAAGCGAAATATTTCCTGAACTGCTCCTTTATGGATTTGGAGGTTTGCTGTAAGTTTCGTTCGTTTGGAGAAGCATATGTGCCGCTATGGAATCAACAAAGTGGGGTTGCGATGGCAGGTGGGGAATGGCAGATTTATCTCGATGTGGGGTGATCATTGGCTTCCTTGACCGTCTTCTTTCCAGGTATTTTCTCCCAAAACATTGGGTATCTTTATCTTGGTGGTTTAGGACTTTATTACTAATGAGTATAGGTGGAATAGGGAACTTTTAAACTAAGTATTATCGTTGGAAGAAGTGGCCATGGTTTGATCTCTCATTGGGTAAATTTCCCACTACAGATAAACTTGTTTGGCATTATGACAAGAAAGGACTATTCTCAATTAAAAGTGCTTACCATATTACCTGCATTTGGATTCTCCTATCCTCAGTGTCAGCTTCCTCCTTTTCGGTTTCTCCTTTCGGTGGGCTCTAGGATAAACAATGGAAAACCTGCTTACCTCCTAAGGCCAAAATGATGGCTTAAGCGCCTGATATCTAATATCTTCCCAACGGGAGCAAACTTGAAAAGCAAACGGATCCTAGTGGAACCCTGATGTACTTTCTATGGTGCTAAACCTGAAACCACCTTTCATTTTCTGCTTGATTGTCATTTTGTACAATGCCTTTGGCTGTCTTTTCCGTTGGGTGTCTGACCATTTCATGTTGATGATGGTTCTATGCTTGAATGGGCGCTCATTTTGTCACAAAATTTAAAGCAAGCAGACATTGACGGGGTACTTATGATGTTTTGGGCTATTTGGACTGCTAAAAACTTGAAATTCTGGGGTAATGTTGTCAATCCCCTGCCTTGTGTTACCGTAAATAAGGCATTCCACTGGTGGCAAGAATTCCTAAGCATTGCTTTTACTACAGCTGCTTCTAAAGGTCCACTGATCACGCCAAAATGGGTCAGACCTACATTTGGGAGACTCAAAATTAATGTTGATGGTGCGTGGACCATGAATTCCAAGCAGGGTGGAGTGGAGATTATGGTAAGGGACTTTGATGGTCTTTGTCCTGTGGCTCCTTCCAGGATGTTTACTGATGTTTTCTCTCTTACTCTTGTTGAGGTTTTGGCTAATCGTGCTGGGTTTGAATTGGCCGTTGAAAGGGGTTTTCATAATGTTATTGTTGAAAGTGATTCGCTTCAGCTCATTACAGCTTTGAATGGTTCATCTATGGATTTGTCTCCTTTGAGACTTATTATAGAAGATGCCAAGACTTTGCTGTGGTCGATCGCTGAAGTCAGTGCTACTTACATTCGTCGTCAAGCCAACAACGTAGCTCATAGGCTTACTCGTTTTGGGCTCCATTCGAGGGTTGATTGTACTTGGATTGATGATCCTCCTATTATTATATGGGATCTCCTTGATGGGGAACAATCCTTTCCTTGTACTAGCTAGCCATTTGGCCTTTAAAGAAATATAATATTGTCTTTTGATAACAAAAAAAGAATTGTTGCTTTCACAGTTATGTTGAAATTTATGTTTTTTATGCATCTTTAATATACTGTTAAAATTTATTTTTCTTGAATATCGTTATTTCTTAAAAGCAAATTACAGTTTTAACCTTTATAGTAAAGAGATGCCAAAAGTGCAAAAGGTATATAGGTTTGCAATGTGCAATTTTCCAAAACTAAACTTGTATTTCCCTCATTTTCTAATTGAAGTGCGTAAGGTGAATAGGATAATCTAAGTTTAAGAGTCGCCTATATATGTGTGATAGTCCGACAGATAGGTGATAACTTATCCTGTTATTACCTAAAAGCTTGAAAAAATAAGTGATTGTCATTATGTTCAATTATAGTGCTGATGTTTTTTTCTAAATTGTTAAATCCGCATTCTCCTTTATGCTTTTTTTTGGGAGGATTCATTTGCATTTACATAATCTGTTGCTTTTTTTTTTTTTTTTGGGTCAAACAGATAAAATTCATTAATAAAACTAATACAAGAAATTGAAAGCCCAAAGAAAATCTAAATAAAAGCATAAGCCAAAAGTAATTACAAACGAAAAACCCAAAAAGAGCAAGCCTACAACAAGAAAAACCCTAGATCTGGAAGAGTACACACTCCACCACGCTAGCTGCGCCGCTATCGCTGATTCGTCACTACTACCACGAGAAAGAACCCATGAACAAACCATATGAACGGAAAATGAGGGTGAGCGAACCACCTCCGCAAAAAGCACTCCCATAATCCTACCAAATAGTACTAAGCGAACTTTAACAACCATCTAACACCAAGGTGCGCCGCCGAAGGGAGACACGCGATGGGCTGAGTAGTAGAGGTCGGCGGTGGAGGATTGACAATGGGCAGAAAGATCGGGGGTAAAAAGGGCTCAAAACGCAGATCTGAGACAAGCTTAGGGAGGTTGAGACAAGGCTCAAGGAAGCTAGAAAGTAAAGTAAGGAAAGAACGTAGGGAAATATAGGGTAAGCAGAAGTGAAAAGGGAAAGAAAATAAGGAGAGAAGAGGAGGACCTTAGCGAAGGAGAGAAAAAGGATATAGTTGGGAAGCAAATCCCTAGAAAGATAGGGAAGAAAGGAAAAAAATAAAATAGAGGGGGTTTGGAGAGAGGAGTGGAGACCAAAAATAGGGAATTTTTTTTTTTTTTTTTTTTTTGGGGGGGGGGGGTGGGTGCGGTGGGCGAGAAAAGAGATTAGAGGGTGGGAAAGAAAGGAGAAGAGGATGAGGACTAGAATGTGGTGGATACTAGGTTGCCGTTGACCCCAAGCCGGAGCAAGGGGCCGATGGCCAGAGGCTCTTAGATGTAGGCTTTTTTGTGGGAGAGTGAGAAAGCACGAGGTTGTAGGCAGAGAGAGGTTTTTTTTTTTTTTTTTTTTTTTTGGGGGGGGGGGGGATGGGGTGCTATGGGCAAGAAAAGAGATCAAAGGGTGGGAAAGAAAGGAGAAGAGGATGAGGACTAGAGTGTGGTGGATACTAGGTTGCCGTTCACCCCAAGCTAAAGCAAGTGGCCGATGGCCAGAGGCTCTTAAATGTAGGCTTTTTTGTGGGAGAGTGAGAAAGCACGGGGTCGTAGGCAGAGAGAGGTCAAGGAGGACCTTGCTTAACCTTCTCTTCTATTTATATGATCTGTAGTTTTTTTTTTATTTTTTTTTTATTTTTTTGAGAGGAAAATGTTGTATTGATTAATCAAACTCATGTAGAGTTACATGTCTTAGAAGAGGAGCTCCTGAACGAGAGTAGGAGGCTCCTTAATCCAAATTAGATTATTGCTACTAGACAAAGCAAACTTAGCAATATGGTGGGCAACCCCATTACATAAACACGAGACATGAAGAAACCTCGCCATGGAAAAGTTGGAAGCCAACTGCAACACATCCTCCGCGATCGTATCTATAGCCGATGAGTTTGGACAGGTCCTATTAAGCACTGCAATAGCCTTCATGGAATCACTCTCTACCACGTTCTATTGAAAACCTTGTTGTTGTGCCACCTGCAAACCGTACCTCAAACGCCTGGAAACTGCTGCTCCCCTGCCGCCAAGAACCCACCCCTCCAGTGTTGATAGCTGGGAAAATGAAGAGAGAGAACAACAATAAATATATTTTTTCTTCTTTCCTTAGAAAGTAAAGGGTTAGAACTCATTTCGACATAACTATTTTACATTTAGTTTTTAATTTTAATTTCCGATACTAATAGGGAGCTGGTGTGGGGAGCTGAGAAGAAATTAAGGTCATATAAAAACATAAATTTGAAAAGAAAAACAACTTATAATAAACTAAGAGAAATATTATTGGCACTCTAAAAATCTCATTTTACACTCCTCACAAGTGTATTTTTCTTTCCAAATATAGAAAGTTTGAAGTGTAGAATGAGATTTTTAAAGTATCAATAATAGTTCCCTAAACTAAAAATGAAAATAAATTGTTACGAAGCCCGTTTCTTCATACTGGTTACTCATGTCATCTCCAACCGAAGGGTCCAGAGGGCCAGAAGGTCGAAAATAGCCTGAAAACCGTCTCCAACTGAGGGCTAGGCCAGAGGGTTGTGGAATCTCAAAGGGCCCCACGAAATCGGAGAGGGCTAGAGGGCTGAGGGTTGGCTGCAAGCACCAGCCAGCCAGCCAGCCTGGGGCTGGCCAGAAAAACTAGAAATCCTGTCGGTTATAACCTACAAGATTTCGTTTATATTATTTAATATTAATGTATTCCTGTTGGTTATAATCGACAGGTTTTTTAAAAATAATTTTGAATCCAACGGCTAGCTGGCGCTAGTTACCGTTGGATTCAATTTTTTTTAAGGTTTTTTGGGCCTTTTTTTTTTTAAAAAAAAAAAATCTATTTTTTTTCCTATAAATACCTAAACCATTCCTCACAAAATTTTCACCATTCCAACCATTTCAATTCTCATATTTTCCTTCCTCTTTCAAAAATCTATCCTTCAATTTTTTTAATAATTTTGAAATGACCTCTTTTGCAATGAAAGGTAGGGCTTGGACCCGAAAAGAAGATGAAGCTCTTTGCAAGGCTTATAGATGGGTGTCGGAAGATAGTGTGAGGGGGAATTGTCAAACAAATGACGGTGTTTGGACTCGTGTGTCCAAAAAATACTTAGAGTTCTATGAAGGCACCACTCGAGTGAATATTTGAAACCACGAGAGTTATTCTTCAAGATGGAAGAAACATCTTCAGCCAAGTTTGAACAAATGGCATCAAACATTGTTAGCAGCCGCAAGTAGACATGAAAGCGGCGCTAATTACTACGACGAAGTAAGTGTTTTCACAATTTATTTTAAATATTTAATTATATTACATTTAATTTCATAAATTAATTTCCTTTAATTTTTTTCTAGGTACGCCAAGCGGAGAAATTGTATATGGAGAGCAGCTCGAAACCCTTTCAGTTTCACAGTTGTTGGGAAATTTGTAAAGGGTGGGTGTTATTTGAAGATCCACCAAAGAGAGTTCCTACGCCGGTGTTCGAAACTGCATCCTTAGCTGTAGATATGGATGAAGATGGACCTCCAACCATTCAACAAAAAAGGGTAGAAAATCTGTCTTCGGGTGAAGGTTCCATACCTAGGGTTATGGGATGAAACAAGGTGCAAAGGTTGAAGGAAAAGGGCAAGGAAAATGATAATTACGCCGCTCAACATGAAGTGGCGGCCTCATTGCGATTATTGGTAGAGCAAAATGCCCTTGAGGCTGAAGAAATGAAGCGTAGGCATGAAGAATAGGCAAAACAAATACAAGAAGAGATGGATGATAAGAATATGGAAAGGAACACTTCGAATTACACTCCAATGAATAAGGCCTATTTTGATAGGAAAAAAAAAAGAAATTATGAGCCGACGGCAGTTATTTACCTCTGACTATACTCCTACGATGGCAGATGATGAAGATGATGTTGATTATGGATATTAAATTTAAGTTGTTTTAGTTTTTAAATTTAAGTTAATGTTGTTTTCGAATTTAATTTGTAGTTTTTAAATTTAATTTGTCGTTTTTAAATTTTAGTTGTAATTTTTAAATATAAGTTGTAGTTTTTAAATTTAAGTTGTTTTTAAATTTAAGTTGTTGTAGTTTTTAAATTTAAATAATAAATTATGTTTGGTCCTTTGGCCTTCGGTTGGAGACGGTTTTTTGTGGCAGTGCTAAAACGAGCCATTTGGCCCTCTGGCCCTCGGTTGGAGACGGAGACAAATATGGCCCTATACTGTTCATTAAAATATTAATATCTTGAAGAATCTTGGAGGGCTAGAGGGCTAAAAGCGAGCCCTCTGACCAGCCGTCGGTTGGAGATGGCCAAAGGGCTTGGTAGGGTAAGCCCAGTGGGTTATTTGCTCATCTCTTTGAATTGCAAGTCAACTTCCAAGGGGTTTTGTTCAGGTTATAAATTATGAAAGGGGAAGTTTTATTTAAACTCATCTATCTACATCTAACTTAAATTTTAAATGTTAATTGTCTATTTTACCTTATCACGTAATTACTATTAAGTACAAAATGAAATTAATAATAAAACTTAAATTTATCAATAAATCCACCCATTATAATTAAACTCGAGCATCACCCTTTGTTTATCCTACGTTCATTCCAGCTAAAACCCTAATAGCTTTGATGGAGAAAAACAAGATTTTTTATTGATGGATGGTAATTTTGAAGTTTTGAATGCTCCAACTAAGGTATGACTCGATTTATGGATATTTTATTTGTTTGCTTCTTCTTTGGGTCAAATTTCATACTTTTTATATTATATTGTATTTGTTTTTCTTTGTCAGTGTCTGTTTGCGCATCAAAACACAATTGCAAGGACTTTTGATTAATACTGCAAAGACATATAACTTGATTCTTGGTGCCAATAAAGATTGCCCAACCTCATTAACCTTAACTACGAACTACCCGGGTGACATCTATTCGTAAGATTTCTTTTTTCTTTCTTTGAGATTCTTTTCGAGATGAAAACAC